ATCCTAGTTATGAAGCGAACGTCAAAAAGCGCATTTTGTCTCTGCTAGAAAGGAAAATGGTCGAGGCATTACACCGAATCCTCTAGTTTGAATAAATAAAAACAGAAAGCTTTTCCATAGCGAGCGGACAATGCATATATGCAATTGGCGATTTTTCGCACTTAAAAACGCGAAAAAAGAGAAATGGGGCATTTTGTTTTTTAAAGATCCTGCAATAGAAATATACGTGTTTCTCCCTAGTTGTACTTTTTTTTCTTCAAATATCTCACACTTGACATTTCTTGGTGTCACAGGAGTAGATTTTTTTCTTTCTTTCTTTCTTTTTTTTCTTTTTACTTTCTGTCAGAACTAAACTGATATTGCCTTTATTGTTTTGATATGTAGTACTAAGAAAGGTATCAATTATAATAAAAGTTGTTCTGATTTTTAAGATAAGACATTTTAAAACAGAGTGGTAATTGCGACCAGGATCACTACTGATTCAAATCACTTAAAACTAATGCAAGCTGAATTTCGTAACTCTGAAACTGTGTTCATGGAAAAAAAAATCAACGAAAATTGCAGAATGTCACATATTGTAATGCTAGTGAATATTCCATTGTATCCCATGCTTCACTATGCAACAACCTAAGCACAGTGAATATTGAAAAAAAGAATAGTTACCTAAAGGAAATGTTTCGAGTATTGAATGTAAACAAAGTGTGTAATTGAGAAAGGGTCACACAAGCTTTGCCTTGAATGATTAATGTGAATTAGTATGAATGTCAACCACCAGGTGGCTCTAGTCGCGACGAACAACAATTTGATTTTCTTTATTTTTTATTTATCATTTTTCATTTATCTTATTTTTATTTTTCATTTTATTTATTATCAATGCAAAGAGAAAAGTTCGTGTGCATATATATATACGTGTGTGTGTGTGTGTGTGTGTGTGTGTGTGTGTGTGTGTGTGTGTGTGTATGTGTGTGTGTGTGTCTGTGTGTCTGTGTGTGTGTCTGTGTGTGTGTGTGTGCAAGTGAACGCGTGCATTGAATGTGAAAGGGGTGTCCTGGACATGTCTCTTTAAAAGAAAGAAACTCTATCTGTCTGACATTTGAGAGAAATGTATTTCTCCATTCGCTTTCTCAATCCTTTCCTCTTCCTCTTCCTCTGCCTCCTCCTCCTCCTCCTCTTACTCCTCTTTCACTTTTTTCTTCTCCTCCACCTCCTCTTCCTCTTCTTCTTCTCCTTCCACTTCTCCATCTTCTTCTCTCCTCCTCCTCCTCCTTCTCCTGCTGCTGCTGTTCCGCCTTCCTCTCCCTTCTCCACCACCGCCACCAGCTCCTCGTCCTCGTCCTCCTCCTCCTTCTCTTCTATCTCCTCCCCCCCTCCTCTTCCTCCCCCTCCTCCTTCTTCATCTTATTCTTCTCCTTCTTCTTCTTCTTCTCCTCCTTCTTCTTCTTCTTCTTCTCCTCCTC